GAAACTAATCAAGGAAAGAAGCAACCTAGAACTAAGGAGAAACTTCCTGACAATTAGAACAATTAACCAGTGGAACAGCCTGCCTCCAGAAGCCGTGAATGCTCCAACACTGGAAGTTTTTAAGAAGAGACTGGACAGCCATTTATCCGAAATGGTATAGGGTTTCCTGCCTGAGCAGGAGGTTGGACTAGATGACCTCCAAGATCCCTTCCAACTTTACTACTACTACTACTACTACTACTACTACTACTACTATTACTACTACTATTATTATTATCATCATCATCATCATCTTTGGAAAAACACATGGATAGGTGGGCGGGTGAGTAAAACCCACTTAATTTTGTGCAGACAGAATGCGTGCATGGCTCATTCAGGTAACACACTAGCAGATGACTTCCCAAGCAAGGCTAATTTTGGCTAGTTTAAAATTTAAATTTCTCTGTGTTAGATGAGACCAGCCCCTCTGGTTAGTTTATGGCTTCATGTATTGTGCAATTCCAGAAAATGATTAAATTCTGGAGCTAGGCTACACGCTGTACTGTATGCATGTCAGTTCCTGCAGCATGAACATCATCGCTCTATCTTCACCAGTGAGGGAGGAGAGATTATCCGCCCCCCCAGTGAGATACAGGAACCTCTTGAGTTGGCTCAACCTACCACTGGCTGCCTCTTAGCCAGCAGATCACATGCATGTACAAATACGTACACGTCTGTACGTGCAAATGCGGCTGAAAAGTTGTTGCGTTGGTATGCTGAAGATTCAGCCGACAATGCAGCCAGCCTCAGGAATCAGGCTGTTTTGTATGGAAAATCATTCTTAATGCAAATTGTGGTTTTTAAACACTTCCTCCTTCAGCGGTCAACAAAGTATTGTCTGGGTTGTCTTTGTATAGATTGTTTTCCAGCAGTTAAAAAAAAAAAAGAAACATCCAATCAAAATCTTACCCCTTTTAAAATTAAATCTTGGAATCTTTCTCCTAGTGCTTTGAAGCTCTTAAAAACTTTCTGATCCTCTAGCTGATTTTACCCATTAGAGCCAGGGGTTCTCAACCTTGGCAACTTTAAGACTTGTGGACTTCAATTCCCAGAATTCCTCAGCCAGAGCTGGCTGAGGAATTCTGGGAATTGAAGTCCACAAGTCTTAAAGTTGCCAAGGTTGAGAACCCCTGCATGATTAGACAAACTTGGATTTCTTGTGAGAGTGGATCAGGAGAGAGAATAAAGACGGAAAAGACACATCCCAGGTCAGGAGTTGGGTTTCCTTGTTTCTGTTCCCACTATTGTCGTCAGACAACTTTCCTTCCTTCCTTCCTTCCTTCCTTCCTTCCTTCCTTCCTTCCTTCCTTCCTTCCTTCCTTCCTTCCTTCCTTCCTTCCTTCCTTCCTTCCTTCGCCATGTTAGTCAATTGCAATAGAAACAAAAGGCATTTTGTGACTGGGCACCACACAGGGCACAGATCTACAGTTCTTTGCAATGTTAGGTATGTAGCCTGAAGCCAGCTAACTGTGTTTGATTCTGTGCATTGTGCTTCAGCCCTTCCTGGCACTGAGTAATGTCTGAATTGCATCTTCTTTGAGTATCACCCCCCCACACCATGTGGCTAAAATAACCAGGAATCACGTGGTCCTGAAAGGCGAATTGAGATTGAATTGAACCGAGGCCAGGGCTTTTCTATATATTTTGTCTTGAATGAGCTCTCTCTCCTTCCCCAAAACTCTTTAGCAACGATTACTCAACGCACATAAAGCTGGGGTCCTGTACAGCTCTAGATCAGAGTTTACTTAAGTTTGTTGAATAAGCTACAGTGTTTTGTCTCAACTTAGTGGGATAGCCCTTTGAACTGTGGTGCTGGGGAAGACTCCTGCGAGTCCCTTGGACTGCAAGGCGATCCAACTGGTCAGTCCTAGAAGAGATCAACCCCGACTGCTCTTTAGAAGGCCAGATCCTGAAGTTGAAACTCAACTACTTTGGCCACCTAATGAGAAGGAAGGACTCACTGGAGAAGAGCCTAATGCTGGGAAAGATGGAGGGCAAGAGAAGAAGGGGACGACAGAGAAGGAGGTGGCTGGATGGAGTCACTGAAGCAGTAGGTGTGAACTTAAATGGACTCCAGAAGATGGTAGAGGACAGGAAGACCTGGAGGAACGTTGTCCATGGGGTCACGATGGGTCGGACACGACTTCGCAATTAACAACAACAGTGGGATAGCCATATATTGTAAGGTAAAAAGCACAGTAGCAAAGCTCACACAGTCAACCAAGGCACACCACTCGCCACTAGGATGGCTTGACCCGATGCCCACCCCAAATAACAAGGTTTATTTCCACTGGAAAGCGGATTCCCCTGACGGTGGATCGCTGCTTCCTCAAATTAGAAATACTGTCTCGGTTCCTTTTCTCTTTAATATCCCGTGGCGAGGGAGTTGGGAACGGGAGAAACTTGAAATCCCAAAGGATGTTCAATAACTGAAAAATACCAGCTTGAGATTTTCAGCGGTGAGAGATTAAGACTATTGCATCTCTCGACACCTTTTCTGGGGAGGTAGAATAACGAGTCCCACAAATAAATGAAACTTTCTCTAAAGTTTGTTCGGCACCAGAAATGATAAAGGAAGGAAAGGAATCCCTGCGGATTTGACTCCGCTAGTCGCTGCCGAGGATAGCAACGATTAAATAAACGGACTGGGAATTTTTCGGTCAAAGTAGGAAACCCAATTCTCACGAATGACGTCGGGTATTTTGAATCTCCAGGCGCAATTTCTTCGTTGGCAAGCCATTGAATTCAGTGGTGGGAGGAAGGGGGGAGGGGTGACTATTAGTACCGAGATAAGAAAGAAAGAGACCCCCCCCAGGCAAACCTAGAGGCCACAACTTGCTGATAAACGCGCATATTTTTGACCCGGGTTGTTTTGGGGAAGGCTGCGTTGTCCTAACCCAGCCCGCTCGCAATAACTCTTCTTTCGCATAGCATCTTGCCAATCCACACATCGGGTTAATTCTCAAACCGAGTTTATTTTATTTATCAACTATTTGCCATTTCCTTACCGGACTGTCGGCCGCTGATCGCGGTTAAAAACATCGTTAAAAAGTTCAGACAGTAAAGAGCGGGGTCGTGTGAACCCAGCCCGAGTTTGAGAAAGGCCTCAAGTTCCCTAAAGCGGCGCGACCCCTCAACCCCAACCCCGGGCCAGAAGCAGAACAGCCGATAGCTTGTCTGTCTCACCTTCGCGCTGGGAGCCGGCTTTGTCCCAGAGTCGCCCTGAGCCAAGCGGGCAGAATCGGGGCTTGTTCGCCGCTGGCTCCGGAGCCTTCGCTTCCCTCTAGCCGTGACACACACACACACACACACACACACACACACACACACACACACACACATAAACACACACAAACACAACGCCCCCGAGATCTTTTCTTCGCCACGGAAGAAGAAGCAGGAGGATTGAGGGGGGGGTCCTTCCTCTTGTGCCTCTCGCCCCCCCCCCGCTTGTCCTCCAATCCCACGGCCAAACTTCGGGATCTACCTGCCGAAGGCTGCTTCCCAAGGCGGGACGCGCTTCCCGGATACGAACCCAGCGGGATCTGCAGGAAAAAGGGGGACGTTTCTTTTCTCGGCGGCGAAATAATTGAGAAACTGAGAAACAGGCGCAGACGGAAAGGTGTTTTGTCCTTCCTAGCGATGCCTGGGTGACTGGCAAAAGAAGGGGGGGCGGTGGGGCGCGGGGGGGGGGGAGAGGAGGGCGCGGGGGAATTAACGCGCTGTCAAATCGAAGGAAAGTGGCCAGCAATCCAGGTACTTTTCAGGTCCCTGGAAAAGGAGCCGTCCCCGTTTGGAAAGGCCACGTTCTCGCCCTGCCAGAGCGAAGCGAGGTGGGGGGGCTCGGCCGGGGAGGGGAAATCGGAGGGGCGTAGGGTATAAAGGAGGAAGAAACGCGCCCCCTAAATGCGGGGGAGGCAGGAGAGCTTGTTCCTTGACCACCTTCTTCTTCTTCTTCTTCTTCTTCTTCTTCTTCTTCTTCTTCTTCTTCTTCTTCTTCTTCTTCTTCTTCTTCTTCTTCTTCTTCTTCTTCTTCCTTCTTCTTCTTCTTCTTCTTCTTCCTTCTTCTTCTTCTTCTTCTTCTTCTTCTTCTTCTTCTTCTTCTTCTTCTTCTTCTTCTTCTTCTTCTTCTTCTTCTTCTTCTTCTTCTTCTTCTTCGGAAGCTGCGGGCAATTCTCCGCAGCGGTGATTTATAGCCAAAGCCGATCTCCAAATTGTTCTTGTTTTAGCGCGTAGTCAAGGCTTCCCCACCGGGTCCGAAAGCTGCAGCTGGGAGCCCAGCGTGGGTCTACCGGAGAGAAGGCCGCAGCGGTCGGCGGCCCTTCCTCTTTGCAGCACCTCTCCTCGGATCCCGCGCGTTAAATCACGGCTTCCCAAATCAATTGCAAATAAATAAGCGTAGCCTCCCGCCGCGCCGCGCTCAGAGGGGAAAGTGCGGGAAGGGGGGGGGGAGGACCGGGCCGTCGGCCCCTTTCTCTCCGGATTGCTTTCGGAGCGGATCGTGGGGGTCTGCAGGCGTCACACACCTCGGGGGGCCCTCTGGAGACTAATCCGGCGCGCGTGGCAGCGGAGTGGGAGTGCTCTTCCGCCCTCTCTCCCCCCCTTGACACACACACACGCACACACACACAAGGCACGCGCAGTGGCGCTTTCGCTTTGAAGTCCACCCCCGGAGCGCTGTCTGTCTCTTTAAGGCGCGCTCCCGACGCTCGGCGCGCGCCCCCGCCTCTATAACTGGAGTCCATGGAGTTGTATTGAGTTCAGAGGGAGGAAGAGGTGGGAGCCAAGCGCAGGCTTCAAAGGGGGAAAGGTCGGGGGGGGGGATTTTGGAGAAGGAGGAGCCGCTCTCGCTGCCCACAGCTCGGCTGGTTTACGCGCTGGAAGAACCCTCCACGAACGCGCCGTCGCTCGTCGCTCGCCTTTAACGGATACTTTTCTTGGGGGGGGGGGTGGAACGGGGCGCAGGTTCCGGTAGCTGTCGGGGTTGCCTCCAGCGTCTTTCCCTCTCGACCCCCGTCTGGAGGCATTTCCCTAAAACCACCTGGGGGCTGGCCTACCGCGCAGATGTTGGTGCACACGTACTCCGCGATGGTGAGTTAGCTTTGGGGGCTTCCTCGGTGGGGTGTGCGGGGACGCGTTTCTAAGGAAGAGCGGGGGGGGGGGAAGAGGAACATGAGGTTTTTCTCTCCCGGGAGGGATCCTTCGAAAAGCAACTTCGAGAGCCCCCTTAGAGCTCCGGGTTCCGAGGGGCTCCGTCTTTTAATATGTCCCAGATGTCGGATCCCGGTAACCGTGATGGTTCAGGTGCCCCCCCCCCGCTCCAGGACGGGAAGGAAGGGAGCGCAGAGAATCATTGCAAAAGTGGAAGGTGGGGGGGGGAGGTAAAGGGGGCCGAAGAAACGAAAGAAACTCCGGCAGGGTAATTCGGATTATTCGCCACGCACGGAGGCTGAGCGCAAAGGCAGGGACCCCTCCCGCCGGTCTTATTCGCAAAACCCGGGCTGGGTCCGGGCGTGGGGCAAGGGGCTCCTGCCTGCGGGTCTCGGCCGGCCTCCCTTCCTGAAGGCAGGACGAAGAAGGGGGAGAGGACGACCCCAGACGGGGTCCCCAAAGCGCGACAAGGCGGGCAAGGCGGGACCCCAAACGGCGCCTTGTTTTGTTTTGCTCGGGTGCGCCTCGGCTCCTTCTCAGCGGCAGAGTTTGCCTGCTCCGGCCCCAGGGTAGACGGGCGAACGGGGCAGAAAGCGAAAGGCTCGCCCCGAGGAAGGCTGGGCCGCGCCAAGCCCCGAAGCGCGCTGCGCTCTCCGCCTGGCTTGCTGGCTTGCTTGCCCGGGGGAGAAGGCGAGGAGCGGGGCTCGGCTAGGCAGAGGAGGCGGCTGCGCCTTGCCTCGAGGCTCAGGTGTTGCGAGCCGGGGCCTCGGGGAGCCGTCGCAGGCCCCGGCAGCCCTGGCGACGCGCGCTGCTTGGAGCCAGGGAAAGCCGGCGCGGGAGCGCGGGTGGCTGCGTGGTGACCTTTCCCTCCCTTTGATGTCCCCCACCAGGACCGCTCGGATGGGCTGAACGGGGGCTCCGCCGGCGGCCGCCTCCCCCAGCTGTCGTCCCTCAACCAGGCGGCGGCCTACTCCTCGGCTCCGCCGCTGTGCCACACGCCGGCCTCGGACTTCCAGCCGCCCTACTTCCCGCCGCCTTACCCGCAGCCGCCGCTGCCCTACGCGCAGAGCCAGGAGAGCGCCTACCCGCACCTGGGGGACCCCTACGGAGGCCTCAACCCCCTCCACCAGCAGCAGCAGAGCGGCTGGCCCTCGCAGCGGGCGCGCCACGAAGAAGCGGCGGCGGCGGCTGCAGCGGCCGCGGCGGGCCTCCTCTCGCAGACGCACCGCGCCCTCGGCCTGGATCCGCGCAGGGACTACCCGGGCATGCCGCGCTTGCTCCACGGCTTGGCCGACGGAGCGCACGCCTTGGCCGACGGGCCGCTGGGACTCCACGCTCTGGCTCACCCCAGCCTCGAGGACATCCAGGTACCGGCCCGCGCCTCCGGCCTCGCCAAAGGCGGCGGACTGGAAGAGGAAAACGGGGAGGTTTGGGGGGGGAGAGAGAGAACGCTGGGGGCTCTTCGACGGTTCCTTTTAAAAAGATCTCTCCGGGTCTGTTTATTCCCCCAGAAAGAATTCCCGGGACATTTTCCTGGAGGGTCAGTTGAGGATTCCTTGGGGGGTCCTGCCGTGCGCTCCCACTCCGCCACAAGTAGGCGAGCGCAGCGCCCGCCGTTCCTGAAAAGGCGCCCTTTCCGTCTTCAAAGGCGAGGGCGCCAGAGCTAGAATAAACTCCCCGAGAGCCCCTTAACCATTCGGTCGCGACGCTTCCCCCCCCCCCCACAAAGCGAGGCTTTCCGGGATCCAGCCACTCGTCCAAGTTCCATCTGCTTCTTTCCACCGCGCAAACAGAATTAAGAGAGGCTAAAGCGGGGCTGAATAAGCTGGCGTGAGTTGGGGGGGGCTGCGGGGGGGGGCTAATTTGGCACGCCTGTTTCTGGGATGAAAAAGAAAAGTTTGCTTCAAAGCCGGCGAAGCTGACTCCCGAGGGGACAAGGTTGTCAGGATGGCGGTGCGCGGCGCACTTTTTTCTTGTTTGTCTTTTCCTTTTTTCCGCTTTCTTCCCCAGCGCCTCTGCTTCTCCTCTCCCCCACGCCCCCCCTCAATCCCTCCCTCCCTCTTCCTCCTCTTCTTCTTCTTCTTCTCTTCTTCTTCTTCTTCTTCTTCTTCTTCTTCTTCTTCTTCTTCTTCTTCTTCTTCTTCTTCTTCTTCTTCTTCTTCTTCTTCTTCTTTTCTCTCTCTCTCTCTCCCTCTTCTTCTTCTTCTTCTTCTTCTTCTTTTCTCTCTCTCTCTTTCTCTTTCTCTCCCTCGCCCCCTCCTCCTCTTCTTCTTCTTCTTTCTTTCTTTCTTTCTTTCTTTCTTTCTTTCTTTCTTTCTTTCTTTCTTTCTTTCTCTCTCTCTCTCTTCTCTCTTCTCTCTTGATCTCGGTTCCAAATCGGCCCTTTCCCTTCTCGTGCAAACGAGAACCTTAAAACGCGCCAGTTTCCAGGAAATCAGAAGCGGCGGGAAGGAGCCCCGATCCAGGAAAGCTTTCGGCTTTCCGCACTTCAAAGCAATTGAGAGTTTGACCGCGGAACGAACTACCAGGCCCTGCTTGAGCTAACCGTGGCTTCAAATATTATTTGGCTTTCTTGACCCGAGAACGCAAGCCTGGGCCAAAGCCGATGCCTTTGAATTAATCCTTTATTCTCTTCGATTTCCCCATGTTTACTCCCGTGTAAATCGTACCCCCCCCACACTTTCCGAGGGGGTGTTCCTTTCTGTCCGATTAAGCGGCGTTCCGCAGCGACGACAAACTGGGTTGCGATGCATAAATACGTATTTTCCCCCCTTACGGGGAGTGGCGATTGTAGCCCGACATTGTGGGAGCGCGGAGGGGCAAAGCAAGGGGAGTGGGTGCTTCTGTGGCCCGCTTCTCTGGGGAGGCGACTGTTTCGAAGGAGCAGACAGACTCCCGCCAAAAGTCCGAGACGTTTTCAGTTCAATGGACCTCAGCGGAAAGTTTTAGTCAAGAGCAGAATAAATACAAGATCCCTCTCTCGCTGAACTCCATGAGATTTTAACAGGCTGATGCGCGACCCCATCCCCACGAAGTCAGCTTCCTGCTTTGTTTTGTTTTAAAAATAAAAGCCGCGGTCCTATTTCTATTTAACTCAGTGGGAGTTGGGGATCACCCTGCGTTAAATTGTATTTAAATTGTTTCTGATCCTAAATAAACTCCCATTATTCCCTGTGGGGCTTGCTTCTTGGGGCAGGGATTGTGTAAGTTTGTATAGTTTTTATTGCTTGGCATTTTTAAAATCTTTCTTTCTTTCTTTCTCTTTCTTTCTTTTTATCATTTCTCTCTCTTTCCATCCATAGATCTATCTATCCATTGATTGTGTAAGTTTGTATAGTTTTTATTGCCTGGCATTTTTAAAATCTTTCTTTCTTTCTCTCTCTCTCTTTTCTTTCTCTTTCTCATTTCTCTCTCTTTCCATCCATAGATCTATCTATCCATTGATTGTGTAAGTTTGTATAGTTTTTATTGCCTGGCATTTTTAAAATCTTTCTTTCTTTCTTTCTGTCTTTCTTTCTTTCTTTCTCTCTTTTCTTTCTCTTTCTCATTTCTCTCTCTTTCCATCCATAGATCTATCTATCCATTGATTGTGTAAGTTTGTATAGTTTTTATTGCTTGGCATTTTTAAAATCAATCTCTCTCTCTCTCTCTCTCTCTCTCTCTCTCTCTCTCTCTCTCTCTCTCTCTCTCTCTTTCTTTTTCTCACTTCTCTCTCTTTCCATCCATAGATCTATCTATCCATTGATAGATGAATAGATAATTATATAATCTATTCCGTGTTTTACGATTTCTATAATAACAGAGTTATAGTCTTCTGTGATTTCGAATGTACTTGTCTAAAATCGAGAAAGACTTTCCATCTGTCCTCCCTTTAAATCTTTCTCTTCCTCGGCCCGATCCCGTCCCTGCAATTTTAGGGTTTTATTCGGCTACTCCGAATAAGCCTCTCCATCCTGGATTCTCTCCCCCTTCCAAACAAGAGCAGACGTGACAGCAACGCACTTTGTTCTGTTGATAGACCCGAAGCCCTTCTGGGCAATAAAACTCATAAATCTCTTCTAGCAAATAAGCTGCTACGTCTAACGTTGGTTTGCAGTTGCCTTTGCATTTTCTGAGCAGCTGCTCTATTCTCTCCTCTCCTACCGGCTCCCTGGAACAAATTCCCCAAAGGCGAAACAAATTTTACTTGAAAATATGGCTGGTTGCAAGGAATAATATTTATTCAAATGAAAAAGCAATCGGTCCGTTTAAGAAAAATATTCCGTTTTGGAAAAATAAAACAAAAAACGACGGGTGCACGTGAGAAAGCTAAAAAAAAAGAAGAAGAAGCTGGCTAGGAAAGCGGGTCAGAGGAGGGGGGAAGGCAAAACTTCCCGTTGCGGTACGTTTTCTGCAGCAAACTAAGCCCAACTTTTAATGCACAACGTGTAATTCTACCAAGAATAAATTCTGCCTGTAATCTGTGACCGTGGTTTAAAAAAAAAAAAATCCTACACTAATTCCAGGAACGGAGCTAGATTTTTTAAAAAAATAAAATAAATCTAGAAAGTGAAACTTGTTGAGGAATTCATCCCCCCACCCAAAACAACAACAACCGTATAGACTTTTTTCCGCCCATGCTTCATACAATTAGAGTATTGGGATCTCTCTCTCTCCCCCCCCCCCCGCGACTAACACGCCTTAAAAATTACTAACCTACTTTGGCAAAGTCTGTGGGCATTTGGGGGGGACTAAATCCTCTTTCAATCGGTGGGACTTCCTCTATTCCTTAAACGGCGAAATTGCAAGACGGGTTCCCGGTGACTTCGGTGCTGTGGTTAAACAGATGGAGGGATCTTTTCCAGTGGGGAATGAAGGGAGCTTTTAAAAATGCCTTTAGTTGAATTATGCCTGGTAGCTTTAAGGAGCAATTTTGAAATCTCCCAAGGGCTTTATTTCCCCTCAGAAGCCCTGGATGTTTGTTTGTTGTTTGTAGAAACAATTAGAAGAGGCCAAATTGTCTCTTGCGCTTTTCTAGAAAATATAGGTTGGATTGAACAAGTCAGTTAAAGAAACAGGAGAATTTAAAAAATAATCTCTCTCTCTCTCTCTCTCTGTCTCTCTCTCTCTTTCCGTCTCTGTCTGTCTCTGTCTCTGTCTCTGTCTGTCTCTCTCTGTGTCTCTGTCTCTGTCTGTCTCTCTCTCTCTCTGTCTGTCTCTGTCTGCCTGTCTCTCTCTGTGTGTGTGTGTCTCTCTCCCTCTCTCTCTTTCTCTCTCTCTGTCTCTCTTTCTGTTTCTCTCTCTCTCTGTCTCTTTCTCTCTCTGTCTGCCTGTCTCTCTCTCTCTGTCTCTGTCCCTCTCTCTCTCTCCCCCTCTCTCTCTGTCTCTCTCCCCCCTCTCTCTGTCTCTGTCTATCTGTCTGTCTGTCTCTCTCTGTCTCTCTCTGTCTGTCTGTCTCTGTCTCTCTCTCTCTCTCTCTTTTTCAGCCGTTTGGTTTAGTTGATGTTTCAGCTGAAATCAGAGAATGGGTCAATTCAGTCACTGACTTATATGACTCTCTCTTCCCCCTCAAAATACCCATTGTGCAGTGCCAGATTATTTGGTAGTTGCTTGAGAAATGGAAGGGGCCATTTTTCACTCTTTGGGGGGGGGGAAGCCCTCTGTAAAGAAGCCCCAGATTTGAAGAAGTTGGGTATGTTATTATTATTTTTTTAAAAAAACTTTCCTTTTCTTCTAAGAAACCCTCTTTAGAAGCCCCAGCTTTGAAGATATATAGGCTAAAGCGATCTCCCGTAACCAGCCCTGCATTACTTTCACTTTTAGCTGCATTTGAAATGTCTGGAGGGCGAAAAGCCCTTCGGATGGATTAATCTCATAATCCTCACCAGAACTCCAAGTGTGGTGGAGCTGAGCAATTATCTATGCCCGTTGTTCTTGCAGGCGGTGGATGAGGCCAGTATGAACCTTTTGGACCAGTCGGTGATCAAGAAAGGTAAGGGAACGTCCATGGCTTGGAGCATTTGGTGTGGGAACCAGCTTCAGTCTGGAATCCGAAAGTCTGAAGGGTTCATAAAAGAGAAAGCCAGCTTCTGAGTCCTGATCTCTCTTAGCTTTGTATTTCTTCCCTCTCTGCATACTGATTTTGGAGAAACCTAGATGTGAATTGGCACAGCTCGGCCCAGCATCCTTGCCAGAATAGGAAGCTGGTATCAGTTCTAGGAACCTGCTGATACTTTCAGGAACTTTATCTTGGCCTCCCTGCTTTAGCCAAGAGGATTTGCAGGAAGCCAAAACTCCATTTTGTCTGGTCTCTTTGGAAGTGGAGCCCCTGAAAATCGAAGGCTGAGTTCCTGCACCCATATTAAGCATAACTGATCTTGGTTTGAGTTTAGCATGTTGTGTAAAACTAACCATTTGGGTTGTAAATCGTGGTCACCGCGATGTAAAAAAGATGTTGAGACTCTAGAAAGAGTACAGAGAAGAGCAACAAAGATGATCAGGGGACTGGAGGCTAAAGCATATAAGGAATGGTTGCTGGAATTGGGCGTGTCTAGTTTAACAAAGAGAAGGACGAGGGGGGACAGGATAGCAGTCTTCTAGTATCTCAGGGGCTGCCCCAAAGAAGAGGGAGTCAAGCTATTCTCCAAAGCGCCTAAAGGCAGGACAAGAAGTAGCGGATGGAAACTAAGCAAGGAGAGAAGCAATCTGGAACTAAAGAGAAACTTCCTGACAGTCAGAACAATTAACCAGTGGAACAACCTGCCTCCAGAAGCAGTGAATGCTCCAACACTGGAAGTTTTTAAGAAGAGACTGGACAGCCACTTGTCTGAAATGGTATAGGGTTTCCTGCCTCAGCAGGGGGTTGGACTAGATGACCTCCAAGGTCCCTTCCAACTTTATTATTATTATGGATCATCGCACAGTCAGCCAGATGTTCAGACTGGATTTGGCATTTTGTCTACCTATCGAGTCCTTACCCAGGACCTGGGATAGGCAGATGTGGATGTTTGATGGTATTACAGATCTCGTCGCAGGATGGAAGCAGTTCCTAATAAGGCCGCCTTTTGCAATTGACTAATAGCAAATTTGTCAATGCCAATGGTGTTCAAGTGGTGCTCCAGTTGTTTTGGGATTGCACCCAAGGAGCCTATGACTATTGGTACTACCCTTGCTTGCTTTTGCCACAGTCTTTCTATTTCTATTTGTAGGTCTTTGTATTTTGTTATCTTCTCCAGTTCTTTCTCGTCTATTCTGCTGTCTCCAGGCACTGCCACATCCACTATCCAGACTATTATTATTATTATTATTATTATTATTATGATTATTATCTCAATGCGGTACAAAGGCTTATTAAAGAACCACAGTTAAATAAAGGTAACTACAGACTAGGTATGGACCTAGTTGTGATGAGTCCTTGACTCATGAGTTAAAAATTATTTCAGGATTTTCACTGTCCAGGGCCACCCAAAAACATTAGGCTAGACTTCCCGCTGCGCTAACTTGGCAAGGGATGATGGACACTGCCATCTCAGCTTTCGGGTGGCATCCGGTTGCTTCCTTTCAGCTGTCAGATCAAATTTACGATTTTTCTAAGGCTGGGGTGAATGTTATTTGTTTTCTTGTAATGTGGAGATAATTTGTCTGGGAGCAAAGCCCACTGAATACTTTCCAGAAAATCAGGCAGAACGAGAAGGGAGGAGAGGAAAAAAGGAACTGGAAGGAATGGGGAAGAAACAGAGCACCTGAAGTTTGTAAATCTCAACAAGCTTCGCTGTTATTTCTTTTGGGGAGGTGCGTTATTTCTTGTTCAGAGCAGCTTAGATGGGACCGAATCTCCCTTCAATTTCTCCCCCCATCTTGTAAAATAGGGTGAGTGGAGACCCTTGGGCATGGACTTGACCGTGTCTTTCTTCACCCAACCTTCTAACCTAGTAGTTCTCAACCTTTTTAATGCTGCGACCCCCAACCAGTCGTAAGTCGAGGATTACTCAACCGGTTGTAAGTCGAGGACTACTCAACTGGTGCAGCACCGTTTGCAGAATGGGATTTTTGGCGGGCTCAGCAGGGCAGAGACAGCCTGGACAATTCCTATTGGCTTTTGAAAGCCAATAGAATTAGACTCTATTCAAGTCTATTCGAGTCTATTCTATTGGCTTTTAAAAGCCAATAGAATAAAAGGGAGTAGCACAGCTAAGGAAAAGGAGGGGGGAAATGGCGGACTGCGTTGTTTGGCGACCCCCGTGAAATGGTCGTTCGACCCCAAATGGGGTCCCTCAACACAGGTTGAGAACCGCTGTTCTAACCACTATCCCAAATTGGGCTGGGCGTTTGCTTTTCTAAAGCTGCACAGAATTCCTAAAAGTTCCTGAAATAAAAGGTCCAGTTGCCGGTCACCAAGAACGTCTCACAAGAATGTGACCTCCCCCCTGTGGCCATGCCAACGTGGAAGCTTCCTACTCCAAGAAAACCTCAGCCTAATGCTAGAATTACTCTGAGATGTCTGCTCTTTTCAGGAAACTCAACCAGTAGGGATAATAATGGAATGTCGCTCAATCTCTCTGGAAGCAAACAACACCTCTTCCTCTCTAGGTTCCCCCAAATATTCTTGTAAAATCCAAGGCCAACATTCCTATATGGGGCATCATGGATAAAAATGCACAGAGGTTAGTGGAATGCAATGGCGTTCCGTTTTCCTGACAATAAGAATAATTAACCAGTGGAACGGCTTGCTTCCAGAAGTTGTGGGTGCTCCATCACTAGAAGCTTTTAAGAAAAGTTTGGAAAACTATTTGTCCAGAATGGTGTAAGGTCTCCTGCTTGAGCAGGGGGTTGGACTAGAAGACCTCCAAGGTCCCTTCCAACTCCTCTCCTCTCCTCCCCTCTCCTATTATATCCTCTTCTCTCCTCTCCTACCCTATTATCACATTTGGCATTTGAGTGATGTGAGTCAGCAGCGCATATCAATAAGTCAAGGCGGTGCCAAGGGAAAATCAAAGCTAGATTTCATTTACATGCAGTTCAAGGCAGTGGTAGGTACTATTGTTACTTTTCATTTTTCTATTGAGTGGAGCCCCTGACATGTGATTCCAGGAAAGTCCTTTGGCACATGAATATATAGTTGCAGCTGCTGTTTTTTCTGCTGAGGATGGGACTGTTGCAGGACTGGAGAAAGATGCAGCTGTTTTAAAGAGTTGCAGACAGTGCTGCATTCACACTCCCAAAGCATCTTTGGGGATCACCATCTGAGGCACTGCAGAGTCTTAGCATTTAATCTTTCCCTTTTCTCACTTAAAAAAAAAAATTGGTATCAGCTTTCAGAGAGTTTTGTGGCCATTTCCAATGAGGGAATCACCAGTTGTGCTTCTCTGTGGAGCATTGTTTCTCAACCTTGACAATTTTAAGGCATGTGGACTTCAACTCCCAGAATTCCACAGCCAGCGTTGCTGGCTGTGGAATTCTGGGAGTTGAAGTCCACATGCCTTAAAATTGTCAAGGTTGAGAAACACTGCTGTGGAGGGAACAAACATTCTTGTCCCCTTCAGTGTCTTTTAAAAAGTAATGCTGATGTTTAAGTCTCTAAGTGAGTTTTATAATATGCTGTCACTATAGTGGGCAATTTTTTTGTTACTTTTACACAAATACAAATACTATAGCTGCTGTGTAGATAGGAACGTGTGTGTATGAGAGAGAGAGAGAGAGAGAGAGTTTGTAAGTAGCACTGCATCAAATAAGAGTGAATATTAAATATGAAATTAAATAAAAATTAAATTCCTGCTTTAAAAAAAAGTACAAAAATCTTGGTTTATATGAGAAAGTGAGAAATGGCAGCTGCCCAGATTGGGTCCTGCAAGCCTCAATAGCTTAAATTGCCACATTAATCAACCATAGCCCAGGCTGATTGATTGGTTAGAGCCCTTTATAACAGGGTACACCAGGAGCCAGCTTTGGATTCTTTGTTTTGCTGTGAACAAAAACCGAAACATTCAGCCTTTCAATCGAATAACAACCGGGTATGGGGAGTGGGGGGGGATGTTGTTAAGTTCACTCTAATGCATAGAATTTAACCATATTTTTTTAAAAAAATGATTTTATGTCTTCAGGTGACTGTCCATCCACAGCTAGATGGCTCTGGGTAGTGAGTCAAATAAAAACAAAAAGAAAGTTACAATTCATACCAATTTGATTGTTTGTTTGTTCCTTTCAAACACATTAAACACCATGTTTCTCAATCTTGGCAACGTTAAGATATGTGGACTTCTGCTCCCAGAATTCCTCACCCAGCCCTTCTCCACTAAGACGCACGGTGCCCTGCCCGTTTATCAGTGCTTCAGCCCCACAGTTGCAGCCACCATCTTCACTTTTGGAACTCACCTTTGCTTCACCTGGACACCTCTGCCCTGCATTTTGGCTTTTCTTATCGCTCGTGGAGATAACATTTGCCCTACAAAAGTTTTCTTTGTGGCTGTTGGCTTCGTGGGGCAAACCAGACAGAAGTCACAGCCAGATAAGCTAATTCCACTTTGTTGGCAGACTCTTGCAAATATGAAAGTACAATTCTCCCACTGTCTCCTTTACATCTTGAGAAGCTGGGGGGGGGTCTCTTCTGAAACCTTTACCCCTCCCATTAACTAGCTGTGGGCTATCTTGTCTAATAATAATAATAATAATAGTAATAGTAACTGCTTCCATCCTGCGATGATACCTGTAATACCATCAAACATCCACATCTGCCTATCCCAGGTCCTGGGTAAGGACTCGATAGGTCAGTGTTTCTCAACGTTTGTGTGACGGCGACCCCCGTCACACGGATGCACCACGCATGCGCGGCGGCGCCCCCATGCGCGGCGCGCATGCGCGGTGGCGCCCCCTGAGGGGGGAAAATGGCGGATCGCGTTGTTTGGCGACCCCCGTAAAATGGTTGTTTGACCCCAAATGGGGTCGCGACCCATAGGTTGAGAACCGCTGCGATAGGTAGACAAAATGCCAAATCCA